CTGCAGTGTTATATTATATGTGCGCCTCGAACACCCCATGTGTGCGGGTAATTTCTGTTTGATGCTACTTCTTTACTTATGTTGTTTATTAAGTAACAATGTGACAGTAGAACGTGTGACAGGCAGTTATACGAGTTCGATTTGTGAGATGTCAATCGCCTCCGTGAGTCTGTCTGGCGTCGCGTAATTGCGTCACTTCATAACGTTCCCATGGAAACAGGGGGAAATGGCTGCTCTTGTGTGAAGCAAACACAACATTTTTCAACTTTCTGCTAAGATACATGTGACTTTTTTTGCAACGAAAATGCGAGGATTATGAAATTATGCAAACCCCGCATATTTTGCATGGAAATCGTCAATTTATGCGGCGAAAGTACGGCGTATTTGAAAAAATGCGGCCCCCGCATAAATATGCGGACTTTGGCTGATTTTGTATTGAATTCAGCGATCGCATGATCGCGTTTTTCTGGAGGGACTGATAAATATTGATTGATGTACAGTATATAAATCATTTCTTAACTGTTATGATTATATAAAGCACATTGGGCTACCTGTGTATGAAATGGGCTATATCAATGAACCTGAACCTGAAGGTGACTCTCTATTTTTTCCCCCCTTTTGCAATGAGAGGCTCCTTGACTTCTGCAGCTTGAATTTCATCCTGGCCCAAGTGATCAGCTCATCCAGCGTCTTAAGCAGACTGGATATGCTGGGGGAGGTTTTTAGCAGGCATGTGATGTCGTCAATTTAGGGGCGGGAGCATGCAGGCAGCCAGACCCCACCCACTACCTGCCTTGCCCCAATCAGGATGACCTCAAACGCTGCCATGAAGAGGATGGAGGAATTGGAGCATCCCATTGCGATCCCTATTTCCATTTGTTTTCAGCACTTTCGTCAGTGCAATGCACATGTGCATGTCCTGGAAGTAGTTCATGATCATGGTCCTGATATTGTCTGGGATGTAGAACAATTCCAAATAGGCTATTAGAAGGTGTGGCACTGACCCATAGGCATCGGCTAGGTCTACCTATATGACGTGCAGATATTTCTTCTCCCTCTTAGTGGTCTGGATATGTTCCCAAGTCATGGAAGCATGCTCTACATAGCCAGGGAAACCTGGAATCCTGGCTTTCTGGCAGCTGGTATTGATGTAGTTGTTCTCTGTGAGGTAGGTGGTAATTCTTCTTGCCATCACAAAGAAGAAGATTTTCCCCTCCACATTTAGTAGAGCTATGCTCTTAAACTGCTCGATGGTCTTAGCGTTCTGTGGTTTGTGAATAGAGACTGCCACTGTCATCTGCCATTCAGATGGTATGGTCTGCTTAGTCCAGGTGATTCTCATCAGGGTCCATAGCAGCTTCAGCACTCCTGGGCAGTTATTATACAGCTTGTATGGTATTCCATTCGGGCCTGGTGCTGAAGCAGATCTTGCCCGCTGGATGACCTACCTGACCTCTCTGGAGGTTAGCAAGGAGTCTACTAATCTTGTCCCAGAGAGCTTTCAGTCCCTCCTTCTCAGACTCCTCTGCCTTCCTCCAATGCTTGCAAAGCTGCCTTCTGCTTGCCACCAGGTAATCAAACTCTTTCTCCCTCCTGCCCTTTGATCTTAATACAGCTTCTCTGATGGTCACCTCACCATACCTGTTACTGCATTCTTCATGCAGGATTTCTCCAAACAGATTTAGCTTGGCACCACTGACTCGCACAGAGCTTTTTCAGCAGCCCGCTCAGATGTTTGTCCAGCTTTCTCCACTCCTCTGCCTTGTTGGCCTTTAACCACTTTATCTTGTTCCTTCGAAATGGGTTCTTCAGGTTCCTGGCCCTTTGGCTCGATTCCGTTCTTGGGTCACTTGTGTGTGCTACTGGTTTCACATCTTGGGGCTCATCAACTTTTCTTTCTTCCTCCTCCTTCCTTTCCTCCTGCTCTACCTTTGCAAAATTGGGCCTGTTGGCACTGTGGTTGACCTTGGGTCCCATTTGTCTGACCTTCCCTTATTGGGGCAGTGCAAGTTTGCATCAGAGAATTAGTTGCATGTGGATGTGAAGCCCCCTCAACATTGTTGTTTTTTTTCCCAGCCACACCCACACTTCCTTGTGATCTTTTATTTTACCGATATCTTTATGTTCGTTACCATGTGGTCTGTCCTTGTTGGCCCTTCTTTCATCCCGCCTCTTGGAAGTCCTTGGGCCTTCAGATTGTTATCTTTGTTTCTTTTTTTCGTAGTAGGCTTTGGGTGTCTTTCTTTTGGAAAACTAGAGGGTGGGGTTCCTAGCCCATATCTCCCGATGCAGTCTTCCAGTCTTGTCTTCCAGTCTTCCCTGGACTCCAACTGCTCTATTCGCTGTCTCCAGAAATGCATTATTCATTATAGTGAGGTGGTCTTTCTGCTGGGCCTTTGGCCTGTCGCATATATAATAAATTACATACATAATATATTTATAGCATTTAGAATATTTTATGCAAGTTACACATAAACCTTGCAGAATCTGCAATATTTTCATAATTTTATCTAAGGATGCATTTTTATATCGGGCCCAAAACTGCACTTGTGTATTCATGCTTGTACTCATTAAAATGCTCCGATACTGTCACTTACTGCTCTGAGATAAGAAGGTTGAGGATCCAAAAGCAATTTCATTGAAAGGGAAATTCACAATTGTAGTTGAAAACAGGGAAGAGGTCAGAGCACAGTAAATCAGTCCAATCAAACAAACAAATCCAGAGGGTGAGACAGGGACTTGAAAACCAGGGCAAAATTAGATATCAAAAACCAGGATTATGAAAAATGCTCAAAGATGCAGTGTAAACAACTAACAAGACTTTGCTGGGAAGCAAGTGGATTGAGCGTGCAGTGGCACAGACGAGTGAGCTTTTTAAGTCCTCATCCCTTTTTCATAGACATCGCTGGAAACAGATCTTCATTATTACATTAAATACAGGATTTACAACACTATTGTTACCTGTATCATTTCACCTCAACAACAATTAAAAATCTAATTAAAATTGAAAAGTAAAAATTAAAGCTCCATCATCAATAACAGCTAAAACCTCATTTATACACAAAAATTCTTAAAAACTTTCAACATTACTGTGGTAAGGTTCAGACGATGTGATGGAAGAAGGCAAAGGGGTCGGCAAATACTGGAGCTTGTGTGCTTTATTTAGACAGATCAATAAAAATACTCTTTCCACAGCGACTGCGCGCTTCAACGTAAAATCAACAAAATAATATAACAGACTCGTTCCCGCTGATCCACAGCTTCCTTTGGTTTCGGACAGTTCCTCTGTTCACAGCTTTCCAGCTCCCGGTGTCTGCACACAAGCTCCAGACTCTCTCAAAACAAAGCGTCCCACTGAGCCGCTTATATACTCTCCCAACGCCAATCACTGCAATCACAGACAGGTGTTTATCATTTGCACTTGACCCGCTTACTTCCCGCTCGACTCCTCCCCCGCTCTCCCGCTGCAGACAGCGCTGAACCACGCCCCCCATACCACAATTACCGGCTCAGGCACAGAAACAGGAACAGACACCGGTTCCGGCACAGAAACAGGAACAGAAGCTGGCTCTGGCTCAGGCACAGAAACAGACGACACTGGCTCCGGCTCAGGAACAGCAGACTCTGGCTCTGGCTCAGGAACAGCAGACACTGGCTCCGGCTCAGGAACAGCAGACACTGGCTCCGTCTCTAAGGAACAGCAGACACTAAAGGTCTGAAGGGCATCTCCAGGATCTGAGCTAGACGCTCGAAATAACCGGTCAGTGACTCCGCGGCCACGAGAATGGGTATCTCCTGATCCGTCTCCGACTAGGCAGATGTGGCATGAACCGTCTCTGGCTGGGCAGACGGGACGTGAACTGTCTCTGGATCTGCAGACGTGACGTGAGCATTCTCTGGTACAGCCTCCAGAAAAACGATGGGCTTCTGGGGCACGGCCTCCGGGCTCTTGGGGAGCCTGGAGGTCTTCCTCCTCCGCCGCCATTTCTGATGGCAAGAAGCAGGCTCTGGGCTGGATGGAAACAGTGGCGGATGGAGCTCTGGGCTGGATCTCACCAGCCCAGGGTCGAAGAGGGGCCTGAGTGGAGAATGGTTTCGGGATTCCTCTCGACGACCTCCTCCACTGCAGCCTCCACGGGTCCCACGAAATCTAACCAACCGGGTTCCCTCAAAAAGTTGTCTTCTCTCCCGTTTGGTGGCTGGGGAAGAGAGAATTGAAAACATACCACTGGATCTTGTAGTGACGGAGTCCTTCTGTCACAAATCCACACACAGGAAGCAGAAGATCCAATAGCAGCAATATTTTAATTAGGGGAATCCATACTCACATCAGATCCACAATTCCATAACAAGAACTAAAGAGGCAGGGTATTTATACACACAGAACATGACAATCATGATGGGGAACAGGTAAGTGCAATAAATAGTGATGAGCGCAGACAAGGATTGGGGGCAATGCGTTTCCTAAAAGTGAATGACACCGTGGGAAAAGAGGACCTCTAGTGGACCCCAGGGAACATAGACCAGACACTGCGACACAGATCTACTGATAAAAATACAAAGGTCATATATTTTACAGCTGTCTGACAATGATGGTCCCCTGTGTATTATGTGTTATTTCACTGGCAATTAGTGGTGTATTGTTGTCCTTTATAGATCATTAATAGATACATGTCAACTGGCAGTCATTCGAGTATTAGAAGTCTCTGATATCTGCAAAACTATTTTTTCCCTACCAGACATTCTACTGACTATAAGTAACTTTGCAAGTACGTCAACTACTAACCTGAACCCTAACAGTCTACTAATACTCTAATGTAAGTTAGTTGACATGTAGTCAATTAATGAGAGTTAGCTGAAATGTTGTTGCAAAGTTACTTATAGTTAGTAGAATGTCTAAAGTGGACTATTGAAGCTAAATGTAACGAATAATAGTTTCACAATCCATTAAATATTATTTTGCATTGTAGACATTTATGTTCTTATGCTTGCTCTTTCAGAAAGTGTGACTGAAGTGAGGACAAACATCTATGTGACAAGCTTCGGACCAGTATCAGACACCGATATGGTATGTGTGTTTTTTTCCATTGCTTGGGTCAAAATTAGGTTCATTTGTCGAAGACCAATTAAAGTTTCATATTCACTTCTGTCAATATGTGTTTGTCCTTCAACTAGGTATTGTTACATGTACTGTAATTGGTAGCACATATCCCATAGAAGAAAACTAAAATGTTTTCATTGTAGTCGAACTGTATTCAGAAAATTTGATTGTCAAATGTGCCACAGAGGAAGACATAGTACTGTCCTTTATTTCCCTTTGTCCCTGTGAATGTATGAAGCTGTGTTCCTTTATGGGCTCGTTTAAGAGAGAAGATAATTGGTTGCGAGGCTGCATGGAGAAATGTATGCGTCTTAATCATACACACAATTGGGTCTGGTATGCAAGATGAATCATCACAGCCATGCAGCAGCACTTTGTATTTTGTATGAGACATAATGTTCTAATAGTGAGAAGACGACATCACAATCAGTCAGATTATACAGAGCATGAAACGATGTTTATGTTACACAGCAATAATCATCAAAGTTAATTTTAAGGTTAAAATGTATACAAAAATAGTGCATTTCCATATATGACTTAGGAATCAGATCCACTTAGAATCAGTTCCAAGTAGAACTGCTGCTCTGAAAGTTTAATTATTATTAAATTACACATTATCTGTTGGACCAAGGACAATGGGAAAGTATATCATAAAAACTTGTCTATGTAGTGTAAATTAGATTATATGGTCCACAACAGCCTCTTTTCCACCAAAGCATTTTGAGAGCCGGTTCGGAGCCGGTGTCTGCGCGCGAACCAGTTCTTTGTGTTTCGACAGCCAAAGAACCGTTTCTCAGCCAGGAGAACTGGTTCAAAAGTGGCACCAACTCATTGCTGGACTAGAACCGTTCTTTTACCACGTCATGCTTACGTCGGGGGCTGGGGCAGGTTTAGATGTGTTCTAAACATCTTTTCTGACCATAATAAAGGATTGCAAAGCCAAGAGAAACATTTGCAGAAACACGATGGAGTCCGCATTTGTAATTGTTATGCTTGAAGTTAACGCAAGCGTTTTTAGTTTTGTCATTTTTTTATTGAAGACATTATAAGTAAAGAAGAAAACAGTCACAATATAGAACAAATAAATTGAAAGAAAAAAAGACACAAGACAGGGGTACATAACTTATCAGAAAAGATTACATATCAAACGGAAAATTAAAAGACTAATTGATTAAAAGACTTATATATTTCAATTGTTTGTAAAGCTTTCTTGGTACACGAGTTAGAGATAATCCGAAAGTAATGTTGTATTTGCAAGCGTTTCTAGCTAAGACGTATGGCGACGTACACAGTAACGCAACAACGTCGTTCCCTGGGCGCTCTAGTCAGTGGAAAAACAAATAGGTTCTGAAGTGGTTCGCAAGTTAAACAAACTCGGAACCAACTTTGAACCAGCACCAGTTCTGAACCAGTTTTTTTTTTGGTGGAAAGGTAAACAGAAACTTTTCTAGATGTTTGCGAATACAAAAACATGAATAAGTTATGTATTCTTTATAGTATGTACTGTAGTGCTACAAACCAAAAATGTAGCTGGGACGTGCAAAGAAGCCTCTAAGATCCACAAGCTTGCTATAATTGGATGCTGTCGAGATAAAGAAATACTTTATTTTAAAGTATGTGCACTTACGTTTACTTGCAGTGTACTTACCTTGGAAAGTACTGAGTAATATAAGGTAAATACATGGGTTAAGGTTAGGTTTACACGCCCTGACCAAGATGGCGCCTGTGTTTGGCATTGCCGCTGTGGCTGGAGGATCGTTTCGTGTTGTTTTATTTATTTTATGTGCATTGCTGTTATTAAGTTTGTCCTCCTATGATGTGTCTGCCGTGTGGGCGTATGATCGGCAAACGCTGATTTTAATTCGTTCATCCGTGACCAAATGTGGCGGCTGTTGTACCTGGAATGGCTCAGTCGAATCAACCCTGTACCGCTGTCCACCTGCATCGGCCGTCTGTACGCGGGAAGGAGAGGGTCTTGAGAGACGTACTAAAAAGCGGAGACGGAGAGGAAAAAGGGCTGGGAGACAGGTGCATCTCAGGAGACTCTGGAGGTTGGAGCACTGCTGTGCTGTTTTCAGATTGCCGTGTCTTCGCCCCTTGGTTCCGAGCGTATACAGCGGCCCATTTTTTCCTCCCCTGAGAGTTTTTTCGAGTGGTCGCGGTGTGTGTGACGAACACTTGAGGCCGCTGCCGCATACCTCTGTCTCTGCTACTGGTGGTAGATCTGCTCCGATTAAGATGGCTTTGCTGAATGCTCGGTCAATCAGAAACAAGTCATTCACGCTCAATGAACTTTTCACTTATAAAAATTTGGATTTTATGTTGCTGACGGAGACATGGCAACAGAGTATGGAGTTTTCCCATTTGATTGAGCTCTGTCCTGTGGACTGTTCATTTATCAGCACACCACGGCTCTTGGGCCGTGGGGGTGGACTTGCTGTTGTCTACAGAAATCAGTTTATTTGTCATTTAATGAGCTCCAATACATACTCGTCCTTTGAATTACAGATGTCTAAGGTTGGTCGATCAGATTCCTTTTATTGTATTCTTGTTTATCGGCCTCCTGGGTCTTTGGGTCCTTTTCTAAGTGACTTTGCTGACTTTTTATCATCCATCATTAAGTTGAATAGAGTTATTATTGTTGGTGATTTTAATATTCATGTGGATAATGCTGTATGTAATACTGTTTTAAATTTTTTACATTTAATGGATACTTTTAATTTCGTTCAACATGTCTCTGGTCCTACACATGATAAAGGACACTTGCTCGATCTAGTGTTTTCTCATGGTTTAAATATTGATGATGTGTGTACAGAGGATGTTTATGTTAGTGACCATAAATGTGTTTTGTTTAATCTCACGTGTGACGAAAAACCACTGCCGGTCAAGCGGGTGTCTTGTTCTCGCATGATTACCCAAGTTGCGGTTGAAAATTTCGCGTCCACATTTGACTGCAACTCGGTTAATTTTTCAAATGACATTGACAGTTCTGTACAGTCGTTTAATGGTCACTGTACTTTGTTACTGGATAAAGTGGCTCCATTCAGGAATCGGCTTTTTCCCGCGGTTAATACTTCTCCATGGATAAATGATGCCATTCACAGTCTCAGACGTGTGTGTCGGAAGACTGAACGCTTGTGGAAATCTACGCGGCTCCAAGTTCATCGCTTGTATGTTAAAGATTTACTGTCGGATTTACATGAGATGATCAAGGAGGCCAGAGAGCTCTATTTTAAGAATTTGATTTTAACTTGTAAAAGGAATCCTAAGACTTTGTTTGACACTATTAATTGTCTTGTGTCTCCTGTTACATCATCTGTACCTGTTTTTTCTAACGATGATTGTAATAATTTCCTGTCTCATTTTGTGGGTAAGGTTATGGCTGTTAGGGCTAGCATTTTACCATCAGCTATCCCCTCTGAATTTATCACAGAGCGGCATTCAATATTAAGCTCCTTTCAGTCAATATCCTATAATGATCTTATAAAAATTGTTTGTATGATGAAACCTTCTCAAAGTCCTGCGGATATTTTGCCTGCTTCTGTGGTCAAGAAAACTATTACATCTATTGGTCCATGTTTGGTCTCAATTATTAACCTTTCGTTAAAGTTGGGCCAGGTCCCTAGGTGTTTTAAACACGCTGTTGTTCAACCACTCTTGAAAAAGTGTCATCTTGATGTTACATCATTGAACAACTATAGGCCTATTTCTAAATTGCCCTTCATTTCTAAAATCCTGGAAAAGGTTGTGGCAATGCAGTTGAATGATATTTTGGAGACTCATAATATTTATGACAAATTTCAATCAGGTTTTCGCAAGAATCATTCTACTGAAACCGCCTTACTCAGGGTATCAAATGACATTCTGATGGCCACAGACGCGGGGGAATGTTCCGTGCTGGTTATGTTAGATCTCAGTGCAGCATTTGATACGGTAGATCACTGCATTTTGATTAATAGATTACGCTACTTAGTGGGTATTTCGGGTTCTGCTCTGGATTGGTTTTCATCTTATTTGTCCGATAGGAGTTTCTCGGTATCAGTTGGATCTTTTATGTCTGACTCTGTTCATTTGTCTTGTGGTGTGCCACAAGGTTCTGTGCTGGGCCCTTTGTTGTTTAATTTGTATATGCTTCCTCTTGGAAAGATTATAAATGGTTTTAAAATAATTTCTTATCATTTATATGCAGACGACATTCAGTTACTTATTACGTTTAGACCTGATAGTCTAGATAAACTGTCGGTTCTACAGGATTGTTTAGTCTCTATTAATAAATGGATGGCAAACAATTTTTTACAACTTAATAAGGACAAAACTGAAATGATGATCTTTGCACCTGACAATATGATACCTAAGATTAAGCAGGCTTTGGGGTTTTCACCCAGATCAGATCGTAGTGAGATAAGAAATCTGGGTATTTTTCTGGATAGAGCCATGTGTTTTAACAGTCATGTAAAGTCTGTAGTTCGCTCATGTTTTTTCCATCTCAGGAGCATTGCTCAGATTAGATCGGTGGTCTCAAGAAAAGAGATGGAGATGCTTGTTCATGCCTTCATCTCGTCACGTTTGGACTATTGTAATGTTCTGTACACTTGTTTGAATAAATCATCTATGGAGAGATTACAACTTGTACAAAATGCAGCTGCTAGGCTTTTGACGGGTACTAGTAAGTGGTCCCATATAAGACCAGTTCTCAAGGACCTTCATTGGCTCCCAGTCGAATACAGAGTTCAGTTTAAAATATTAGTTATCACTTATAGAGCCTTGCATGGTCAGGCACCTCTTTATATTCAGGATCTTTTACATAAACATTCATCGGGTCGGCTCTTGCGGTCTTCTGGTCTGGACCTCTTACTTGTCCCTAGAACACGTCTCAAGACTAAAGGGGACCGTGCTTTTTGTACGGTGGCACCAAGGCTCTGGAACTCTCTGCCTTTAGCACTGAGAACTGTGGGTTCTGTTAATTC